TTTGTGGACTTGGTCGGGGAGGATGGACTGAGGGTGAAGAGACTGCTGTGGATCCTGAAGGCGGAGCTGGTGCACCTCTGCCTAATCCCGGGCACCGACTAATAAAATATCCTGTCTGCCCACAGTGATAACATGCACTCGAACCCTGTCTACACTGCCCAGTGTGCAGCTTACCGCACTGAGTACATGGAGGAGTAGGCTGTCTCATTTGTGAGGAATGCTCCCGTCGACGGCCCTCAGGTTGGCTTGAGCTCTGTCCCGGTCCTGACTGAATATATCGATCAAACCGCTGGCCCTGCATCTGTGGTGGGAAACTACCTGCTGACCGAGATGGATATCGATGGATTGAGGGCCTAAAATCACCCCGTGTCTCCCTATAAGATCTCGTAGTATGAGCACTCTTACTCTGCTCCCTATCCCTACGAGTATCACGAATCCGACGGAAAAAGGTCCTCTGTAGTCTGAGCGAAAGCCTGTATGCGGGAAATATCTACATTATCCAATAAGGATGCTACCCTACAGTCTCTAATCTGATGATCCGCCAAACCATCCAATAATGAACTCCAGCCCTCATGGTGCGTACGATATCTGGTGCATACCTTGCCAAAGAATTAAACTTATGGCTATAATCCTTCACACTCATATCCCCCTGCTTCAGGTTAAGAAACTGGTCAAGACGGGCCTCCCGAACCTCTTGTGGAAAATAATGGGCTAAAAAAGCCTCAGAAAAGTCCTCCCACTCTGCTGGTGGAGCATCAGGTCCTCTAGATCTCTCCCATGCCTCATACCATAGGACGACTACATCACGTAGTCGAAATGAAGCCAACTCCACAGCCTCGGTGATGGAGGCGTGCATCACCCTCAATACTCTATACATCTGATCTATAAAGTCTTGGGGATCTTCAGTGGAACTGTATCTTATAAAATAATGGAGGGGCCAAGTGAAGAAACTCTCGTACTGTCGAGCTTCTTGTCTGATCTCTCCCGGTATTTGCTCCCGACTCTAGCTGTCGCTCATGAATAGAAACCATCCTAGTCAGCAACTGAACTGCCTCCCTCATCCCCTGCTCCACAGTCTCTGATGGGGGAACAACAAGTGATGTAGGTCCTGTGTCTCTAGCTGCCTCAGGTACTAATGGAACTGGTGAGGCTGGGGGTGCTGCGTCTCCCAGGGCTCCAACAAGTGCTGGGGAAGCTGAAACTAGGGGTACTGGAGACTCACTGTGTGCCTCTAAGGGAAATCTATCCCTCTGACCCGGTGGGGAACGACTGGTACCTTCCCCCGGATCCATACCTATCTCTCGTTGTGCCATCTCCTAAGCGTAGGTAGCCTGTTAGATAAGAAACAAAAAGCACGATTTAGATTTCATATATTCTTATAACTTCGCTCTATAGCACAATCTATTAATTGAAAGAAACATAACCATTCCTAAATGCCTCATAGCCTCATGATTATAAGTGTGGTGCACAACACACCCATAAGAAAGATTCTAATAGACACGGCTGGTGGACTCCCTTGGATACGACCTGCTCTGATACCAAGTTTGTCACGCCCCAAACTAGGGGATGCACGACTGGCCCTCGATACTGTATTTGACCGAGTTAGCCACTAAGAATACTAGCTAACTAAACTGGGGTCCCAACAATTCGGGCAGCATAACATCTGAAATACTAAGCCTGGACCATTAAGGTCATGACATGAATAACAATAAGCCATATAACTAAAAGTACACGAGCCAAAATAATAAAGTACTAGCTGGCCGACGAGGCCACGATTGGAGACATACATGCCTACACATATATATATACATGCAATGGGCTGGAGAGTGGAAGCTGCAAAAGAATCCCAGAATACTATGTCCACAATAGCCTCTAAGAGTGTCATAAGCATTACCGAGACAAGCCCCCGACTATACCCAAACTGTACAACAAAAGTAACCATCCTATGAAAGCTCCAGAAAGAGGTGGAGCTTACCAACTCACAACTGAACCTCGAAATCCTAGCAGAGGGGTCGATCAGAGTCCCTACCTGGACCTGCACGCACGAACAAAATGCAGTGTCCCCAGGCAACGGGACATCGGTACGAGTAGAAATGTACTGGTATGTAAGGCAGAAAGTAGAATCACACATAGCTAATATAAAAAAATAATAGAGATACCACCTGACACTGAAACTCTGATAGCCTCCATGGACGACATCCGAC